CCCTCAGGGTAACAGGGGAGCAGAGATGCCACTCCTGAGTTCCCAGTGGCTTCAGGGTCTGAACCAGCCCAAGCCAGGTGCCTACTTCCACTGCGCCGTCTGGATAAACCAAGCCCAAAAGCGACCAGAGCAGAAGCTGTTCTGCATAACAAGGACCCAAAGCACTGACATTTGGAAGAATGTACCTGGCAGCTTTTGCTCTGCTATGAGCTCAAAATCTGATGCTCATAGAAACGCAGAAAATACTGTCAAGACACCTGGGAACCCTCATTGCTGGCATCATTTCTGGGCTGGGGATGCCCTTGGAGCTGCAGCCCCGGAGCCCCCTGCGTCCTTCTGTGCTGGTGAGCAGATCAGGGCGGGGGGCTTCATTCAAACTGCAGCCATGAAATGGGGACAGGGTGGTTTTAACGTAACGAATTCAGAACATGAAAGCAAATTCTCCTACTTCTGGGTACAGAAGCAGCCCAGGAGCCAGGCTGCCCATGGGACCAGTTTGCTGCTGCTTGTGGAGTTTGGGTCAGCCCTGGAGGGACGGACTCGTGCTCCCGAGGCATCGGTACAGCGGTCGCAGGACCAGCCCTGCCCGACTCACTGGGGCATGTGCTCACACCAGCCTCCCTGCCTTGCTGGCTCCGACATGGCCTGGCCAGCTGGCCCAGTGTAAGACAAAGTCATTCCTACGAAAGCTCCAGGTCTGACAAGGCTCTTCTGGCTGGAGACGACAAGAGCAAAGCCGGAATAAAAGTTCATAATCTTAATGCTCAGTTACTCCTAATTTACAACATGTTAACAAGGAGGGAATGGGCTCCTCTCTCCTCCTTTCACTCCATCGCAGAAAAGGACCTGGGGGTGTTGGTCAACAGGCGGCTGAATATGAGCCAGCAGGGTGCTCAGGTGGCCAAGAGGGCCAAGGGCATCCTGGCTTGTATCAGGACTGGTGTGGCCAGCAGGAGCAGGGCAGTGACCGTGCCCCTGTGCTGGGCACTGGTGAGGCTGCCCCTCGAATGCTGGGTTCAGGATTGGGCCCCTCCCTCCCAGAAGAACATGGAGGGGCTGGAGCATGTCCAGAGAAGGGCAAGGAAGCTGGGGAGGGGAGGAGGGGGAGGCCGGGGGGGGTCGGACTCTGCTCCCTAGGAATGGGCAATGGGATGAGGGGAAACGGCCTCAAGTTGTGCCAGGGGAGGTTTAGGTTGGACATTGGGAAGAATTCCTTCCCCAAAAAGGCTGTCAAGCACTGGAAGGGGCTGCCCAGGGCAGGGGTCGAGTCCCCATCCCTGGGGGTATTTCAAAGCCAGGCAGCCGAGGTGCTGAGGGCCAGGGTTTAGTGGTGGGATGGCAGGGGTAGGGGAATGGTTGGGCTTGGTGATCTTAAAGGGCTTTTCCAACCCAAACAATTCTGTGATTCTATGTTTTATCTTGGTGATCACTGGTGAGGTCTGTCCTTGGCCTTCCGGTGCCCTCCCAGCAGAGGCCAGTGGCATGGAACACTACCAGGGAGAGGGATGGGGACTTTGAGCGTGCCTAAGTCAACTCGAAATGCACAGGTCCATGGGACCAGGTGGGATGCATCTGAGCACGCTGGGCGATGTCACTGCAAAGGCCCCCTCCATCATCATCTTCCAAAGGCAGCGGTGATCATGCGTGGTGCCAGGGGACTGGCAAAAGAAGGCAAATGCCACACATCTTGTGGGATGAGGATCTGGGAAGGTCACTAAGTAACTGGAAACAGCCAGCATGGATTTACTGGGGGCAAACCGTGCTATGCCACCCTGCTGGCCTTCCCCGCTGACACAACTAACTGTGCAGGTAAGAGGAGAGCAGGGATCGGTGCACACCCTGAGTTTAAGGCCTTCAACACAGGCTATCGCAGCATCCTTACAGCTGTTTTGATATGACACAGATTGGATAAGGTTGGTGGAAAATTGTCTGGAATGCCAGGCTGTGCTCAGCAATACAAAGTCCAACTAGTCGCCAGTTCTAATGGTAACCCCCCCAGTGACAGATGCTGGGTCTGAAAATACCATTAAACATCTTCACCAGTAACCTGGGGCGACGGAGTGGCGTGCACTTCAGCAGGTTTGCAGAAGACACTGAACTGGGGAGAGCGATGGAAGACAGGGCTGGTATTCAGAGGGACCTCAACCGTCTGGAGAAAGGGGCTGAAAGGCAAATGCCACATCCTGTGTTGGGGATGGGATGCAGGTTGCAGGACGGGCTGGGGGGCATCTGGCCAGGAAGCACCAAGAGCTCTGGGAGCCCTCATGGACGCCAGGCTGCCAGCAGTGGCAGTGAAACTCCTGGGTGAGCGGGAGGAGAGCCAGCAGGATGAGAACAGGGGACGCTTGCTTCCACCTTCCGTTTGTGAGACCACGACTGCTGTCTTCTGCCTGGGGCTCCCCAAAACACACTGTGGGGGAGCTGAGGCTGCCAAGGTGGTCTGGAGCATAGGCAAAGTGAGGATGGGCAGGGTTTGGCCAGCTGAAGGTGACAAAGCTCAGGGGATCTTATTGCTGCCTGTAACAATCCGTGGAAGAATGGAGAGAATCTGAATCCAGACTCTTCTGGTGCACAGGGCAGGACAAGAGGCAACAGAACAAGCTGGGACACGGGGAATTCCAGTTAAATATCAAGGGGGAAATAATCATCATAAGGGTGGTCAAACACTGGACCGGGGCCCAGAGGACCCCTGGACCGATGCCCATAGCATCTCCATCCTTCCAGATACTGAGAAGGCAGCTGGACAAGGCCACAAGCAGCCTGATGCAGCTGGCCCTGCTCTGTGGCAGGGGCTGACATCTCCTGAGCTCCCTTCTCACCAGTGCACCCACGTGCCAGATTTCAGTTGGGCCGTTGCTTGCCCCTGGACGGACAGGAGTCCCAGGGGGACATTGCAAACACAGCCAACACCAGTTGCGTGAGCTCCGTTGAGTGCGGTGCCCCCGCTGAGGATCTGTCCCATGGCACCAAAAATTCAGAATCGTACCAGCTGTGCAGCAGGTACCAGGGCAGAACCGGCGCAAGCGAGGGCCAGAGACGTTTTCAGCACTAGTGGCATGTTTGAGCCAGAAAACTGCCTTAACTCAAGCTCACCTCACACTGTTCCCCGGGTGACAGCGACAACAGCCACATCAGTACAGCTCACCCGCCAGGCAGGCGCAGCCCAGCAGCGCTGCTTGCCAGCCCTCCCCGAGCTGTCAGCTCATCTTACCCGCCATGCACAGTGACAAGACAGCAATGTAGCCCCGGGACAACACCGCACTGAGCCCTGCTCACCCCCCATCCTGTGCACACGAGTGTGCACGCTGGGCACATGCATCGCTGGGCACAGGGCCCCAGCAGGGGGTCAGCATCGCTGGGACAGTGAACCACTGCAGAATCCAGGCTCAGAGACCACCCAGGCAGGAGCCGAAGTCCCGAAGTGGAGCGAAGTGCTGCATTGCCCACCTCATTTCCCCGGCACAGGGGCTCCGAGCTGCAGCCCTGAGGAGCCCCTCTCCCCCAGTTACCTGCAGAGCCTAGAGAAATGTAAAGAAATGCCCAATTTACAAGAAAACTTCCCACTTCCCTGACTGAGAGGTCCACGGATGAGAGAGCTGGGGTTCTGCAGCATGGGGAAGGCTCCGGGGGGACCTTACTGCAGCCGTTCAGTGTATAAAGGTGACTTATAAGAATGATGAAGAAAGGCTTTTGACCAGGGCCTGCAGTGACAGGACAAGGGGCAATGGTTTTAGGTTGGACATAGGGAAGAAACGTTTTACAATGAGGGTGGTGAGACACTGGCACAGGTTGCCCATAGACAATAAGGATGCCTGTGGACGGGGCTTTGAGCTACCTAACTGAGTGGGATATCCAGCAGGTGGTTGGACTGGATGATCTTTGAAGGTGCCTGCCAACCCAAACCATGCCGTGACTCCATGGTGGAGCCGAGCCCTGGATCCCACTCTCCCACGTGCCAGGGTGATGTCTGAACCACAGAGCTTCAACATGGAGCAAATCCAAAGCCTGTTCCAATTCAGGGCCCTGGGCTACACAGCACCAATTTGTGGCCACCCCTAGTTTCCTTGGACACTGCAGAAGCAATGCCTTTGCCTGAGAAACACAGGCACACCACAGCCGATAGCAGGGACTGAGGGACAAAGTGAGAGGACAAAGAAGTCGTTGTGCCATTTCCCAAGGCATAAACATTTCCACAGGACCTCTGTAGCAAGAACCAAGCAAACAAATGCTGCAGAGCTCAGAGAACCATGAATCATGTGTGGGAAGTTGGAGATGAGGGGACCTGCAGGCTGAGCAGGCACCTGGGCACCTGCCCAGCGAGACCCCCATGACAGCCTGACACATGGTGGTTTGCAGGAGAAGTGACTCTCTCAGCATACACACAAGCCAGTTGATTTAGAGTCCAGGTGGCTGCAGAGGGGGCAGTGCTAAAGTCAGAGCCCATGGCAGGGTGTAGCACACCCAGGAGTTGGCCTTGGCTTAGGCACACGGCTGTCAGTGAATGGGCTGATCCTGCCATGAGGACCCGCTCATCCTTGTACAGCAGGGACAGGTAGACCCATGTGCAACATGGGTCTGCTGGAGCATCACCCTGGTGCCCCAACAGCAGCAGTACCCAGCACGAGCAGAAGGGAGGCGCCAGGTCACACCCCACACCCCACACCCCACCCAGGCCCCCATGGACGCGCCCACGGCCTGAGGTGACAACACAAAGCCAACACCGAGCAGGTACAGCACCTCTCCAGAAAGGCCTGGGAGGGAGCTGCTCCATCAAGGGTGATCCCCAGATGACGGGGGAGGCTCTCATCAAACAGTTCATGCAATCAAGCCTCTGATGTTCCTTCTGGCAGATGGAGGATCCAAAGCCATAAAACATGGTGTTCTTTCACAGCCACTTCCCTACAGAATTAACCCACATTTTCAGCCCATTGCTGAGTAGTGTGACAAAACTACACTGCCTCTAAACGAAACACTTGTTTTCTTTGTACACTTTTTCTGGAGACAAGTGATCTCCATCTAGCACCATTCCATCAAGCTGAACTAGTTCAGCTTTTAGAGCTCAGGCCACAGCTGATGACCAATGGGCTCAATAAAAAAATGCCAACACGAGATGCCAGACCAGCACAAATTCACTCCTTTGCATCCACTCTTCTCAAACCTGGAGTTTAGGACATGTTTGTGGGTGCAGCATCAGGTGCTACCTCCCCTCCCACCTGCGGTGCAGAGCACGGCAGCTCCGGCCAGCACGAGGTCTTGCCCAGGTGCTGGGGCCAAGGCACCACCACAAGCCTATGCCTGCTCCAGATAAAGCTGCACTGCTGGCTGATCCAAGAGGCCTCCATCCCAACGTACTCTGCAACCCTGGGATGTCCAAGACAACTACACAGCTCTGGCTTCAGCACATCACTAAAAGCGTGTCCTACTTTCACAAAGTACACGTTATTTAGGAATTCAAGCCCTGATTTCAAAAGCAGCTGGAGACCATGGGTAACCTTGTCTTATGAGACCTCAGGTCATCAGCACTCAAATGCTTCTGAGTCAGCCTGAGACCTGTGAAGATTCCCCAGGCTGAGCGAGGGGGGTATGAAGCTCAGCCACCTCCCCTGGCCCCAGCACCCCTCACCATCCTCTCCCTCACACTCTCCTGGCACTTGGCACTGCCTTCCCTGCCTGCTGCTGCCCGAGGGGCATTTTCTGCCACGCTGCTGCCTTGCTCTGACCCCACTGACTGTGCTCTCTCTGCTGGTGTTCTCAAAGTCTTCCCACTAGCACCTACCACGGATATCAGATATAGGGTTGTGACCTGTCCTTGCCTTCCAGCTGCTGCAGGCCAGGGCCTGAGCGGCACCCAGCAGGGACGTCTGCAGCAGTCAGACCTTCTCACTGCAATCAGCTGCTCCTGACAGAGAATAGCCTCTCTAAAAGACACTCCAATGCTGCTTTCATCAAGTATTTCTAAGCTTTGGGGGGGTGGGAGGAGAGTTCCTCAGAACTGTAGGATAATTCAGGCTGGAAGGGACTTCAGAAGGTCACGCAGCCCAACCTCTGGCTCAAAGCAGGGTCAGTGACTTCCAGTTTCTCGTGCATGCTGTTGGGCCAGGCCCCATGTCCCTCCATCCCCATCTCTCGTCTAGCCAACACACTCCACTCCACCTTGGCTGCAGACAGAAGCACGAGCAGCACAACCGTTCATCACAGTTGAGCACCACGCAGCCTCGGGACCCCCTGGGCGGAGGAGAGGGAGGCGCACCCCACCTCTACCTCTGCCCCTGGAAAGCCCTGCTAAGGAGCCCATCAGCAGAAGGTGTTAGCCATTCGCGGTTTCATGGGAACAAGAGGGAGAGCTGTGCCAGCCCTTCAGAAGTCTAACGCTTCCTGGGCTGCTGAGCCACATCGATGCCTGGTGGAGGGCACCCACAGGCCCAACAGGGAAGAACACCTCCAGCAGGCTCTGAAAGACCACTTGTCTTCTTAGATGGACGAAGGGAAACTTTAGGTGAGTTACGCAGCTGTGTCAGGAAGCCTTGGTCTCATTTATGAGCGGCTCAAGCATCCTTCCAGGCACTGCAGAAACACACAGAGCCCTCAGGCTTCTGAACACATTGCAGGCAAACGTCCTCCCCCAAATCTGGCACTTCAGAGGCCATTTTTGCTCCAGCCAAGATCACCTTTAGTGAGATGCCTAACATGGACGTACAGAAACCCCCCGTCCTGCTCGTCCACGCAGACGCTCAGACTTGCACATGAGGACGAAGCCGAAGCATGCTGTCCCCCCCAGCTCCCTCTGCACTTACTTACATCTTTTTCACTGATGTATTTGGAAATGTGCTGCATTGTTTTGCCCAGTACCAGAACACCAGAACGCGATTGCTCTCAAGCCAAGCACAGCCCTCCCTCCTCTGCCACCACCTCCTGGGGCCCCCACCTGCCTCCAGCCTCTCCCCGTCCTCCCCTTCCTGGTGCCACGGGGCAGAGACTCACCTGAGTTTTCCTTATCCTCAGGTCAGCAGATGACCGGTTCAGTCCTTCCTCTTGTTCAATGCTCTGCTCAATACCTGGTCGGGCAGAAGGACACAGATTATTTCACGCTGCCTGGAGAAGGAAAAGGGATTGCTTGGCAAAGCGAATGCAAACCAAGGAGCATCTGGCACTGAGCCATCCCCAGCTCCTGACTCCAGCCCGACATTTAGCCTGGACAGGCAGCAAAGCCCTGGTTCAGTACCACAGAGCGCTCCGTGCCTGGCCACTGGCTGAGATTTGGTGCTGTCAAGGGCAGCACCTGTCACCCCCAGGCTGGTAAGTGAGGATTTCAGTACAAAATCCACGTAATGCTCAGGTCTGATCTCCGCATGTCCCTGTATTCAAACAAAATGGAGGGCTGCTCGTCCCCGGCTAGGCAGGAGGAGGAAACACAGCACAAAAATGTCTCTGCAAAATACCAAAGCTCAAGACTTCTCCAGGGACCCTAAAAATAGTAGGGTCTGCCAGCTGCCGGCCTCGCAGAGGGAGAACCCCCTGGCTGGTGAGAGCGTGCTTCAGCTCACCGAACCATCCTCTGCAGCCAAGCAGAGATTTTCCCTTTCAATCCTGTCTGGTAGCACAACTAAGTGAGACGGATTCCTCGCTTGCCCAATGACCATAAACCGCAGCAGGGGGGAGGAGCGCTGCCCTGCTCAGCATCCCACCATGGTTTGGGCAGGGATAGGGCCTGGGGTTGCCGGGCAGGAGGCCTGGCCGTGCAAATCCACTCCTCCAGGGCATGCTAATTCAAAAACTTAAATTCAGGGACTTAAAAAGCTGGGAAGAAAGCTCCCATCAGCTGGTTGGCCCAGTGTGCAGAGATACATCTCCATGTAGACTACCAGGCGTGAGCTGGTGGCATCCCTTGACTTTGGCTGAAGACCCCATCCCCAGTGCAGATGTTCCAGGGCTCTCTGAGCTCGGCTGTCCCCAGCACCTTCCACCAGCCCAGCATGGGGCAGGTTCCGCCTGCAGCAGGGGCTCCCCATTCCACAGAGCTGCCCAGTGGTTCCCCATTGCCATCCAGCACAGCAGGGCAGAGCGCAGGGCACCACCACCACAGCAGGGATCTGCGTTGCTGCTTAGCACGGGTGGCCCCACAGTACCACCCTCCAGGGAACAGCAGCACTGCGAGGAAGACCGCAGGCCCAGGGAACCCTTCGGGGTGCTGGCAGCGGGTGTACAACAGCACAGCATGCTCCGGGGAAGTGCTGGAGACCATCGGCACAAATCCTGCGCTCCCTCCTGTTCTGTCCCAGAACATGCATCTGTGCCCAGCACTGATCTGAATGGCCCCATCCCACACAGCCAGGAGGCCACAGCCCTTTCCCCCGTGCACTCCCTGCCTGTGAGCACACCGGCTGCCACCGGCCCAGCAGATTTCATCAGCAATCAGTCTCCCTCCACACTTGTCATCCACCGCTCCCTGTTCCCAAGGAACAGTATTGGCAAACATTGCGCATTTATGATAATTAATAAAATCACATTTTCCCAAGAAGCTGGTAATTGGAATTAGCCACTGCATGAGCAACGTCTGTCCTAACATCCGTGCCCGGCGCTGTGCTGAATGGCCCCATCCCACACAGCCAGGAGGCCACAGCCCTTTCCCCCGTGCACTCCTGCCTGCGAGCACACCGGCTGCCACCGGCCCAGCAGATTTCATCAGCAATCAGTCTCCCTCCACACTTGTCATCCACCGCTCCCTGTTCCCAAGGAACAGTATTGGCAAACATTGCGCATTTATGATAATTAATAAAATCACATTTTCCCAAGAAGCTGGTAATTGGAATTAGCCACTGCATGAGCAACGTCTGTCCTAAAGAAGTGGATTCCTTGTCAGCAGATGGTGTTTTTGATCAGTCCTGACTGTTGTCTCTCATTGATCACGCTGGCCATGAGGCAATCTGGGACAAAGCACACGGACTAATCCTCTGCTGCTCCAGGTAAATACAGTATCAGTGAGTCTTTTCTGGAAGAAGGGAACAGGAGTCAGAGCCTCTCCTGCAATCCTTCAGGCTCCCAAAGCCCCTTAAAAACGCAGAACAAAACACCTACGGAGAAGGATTTGCACAGGATAAACCCTGTCTCCACTTGGACACCAGGGATCCCAGCATGGCTGGGGAGGACTCTGGTCCATGGGAAGGGATCCCCTGGTCTATGAAATGGGTCAGCTGGCCCCCAGCTCTGCTTCCCAGACCTAGCTGAGATCCTGGGTCAGGAGGACAGAGGGCAGCAAGGGGACAACGAAGGGACAAGTCTCCTGGCAGACACGCGGGATGGCCACGCCAGTGGTGATGAGCCTAACAAACAGATCCAGCCATATCTAAGTCCTCCACAACTGCAGGGCTCCCATGAAACCCTGGGCTTAGGGAGAATGCTGCTGCCATGGGGAAAGCACCAGCTTCTCTCCCACCCTTTGGACATGGCTAGGGCTCCTGCAACAATTGCAATCTATGCTGATGTCCAAGGCCACTGCAGGCAAACGTGAGCCTCACCAGGATGACGGGTGACCTGCCTCTTGCCTCGAGATGCTGCCACCCCCACTGACCCTCTGAATCTCTTGGGGTCCAATCTTGGGCTTTTGGGTTCATCTGAGTGCTCCAGCACAACCCCGGCTATTGGCAGGCTGTTGTCACTCCCCACTTGTCAAAGAGATCGACTGACGCTTCTGATTGTGGATACTAACAGTCATGTTGGCCCTGCTCTGCCCCTGCACTGCCCAAGGCAGAGGCGCGCCAAGACAACAGGGCATGCTGATGGGACAGAATAACCTTCTCCGAGCCCAGCGGCCCCATTCTGCCCCACAGAGCCCACGTCTGGGGGCAGCAGTGCCCGCTGTGTCCCAGCTGCGCCGCTCGCAGCGCCGGCAGCA